TTCTTCTAAAATGATATTGTCGCCAACATCACATTACCCAAATTGATAATCACCATTCAAAATTGCACGCATAATTTTTAATGCCGTTGGCCCCGAAGACAAGCCACAAGTGCACGCAGGTTTCAGTCCTCTAACTGTTTGATGGCAGCCAATACGGACTGCAGAAGTAAGCAATTCGCTGTTTCCTCAACTGGTTATGTCCTCCACTCAAGTTAGTAAAGACAGAAGGGAACAGAGGAGTCTACACACTAATCTTCCGCGCCGGTAGCGACCGAGCGAAACCCCGTGAAAATCACATGGTGCTGGCAATCACACTTATGCGGGGACGAAACCAAGATATTACATCGAAACAATGGTGTCCGTCCAATTGGAATATAGACAAAAAGCATATCGTCAAACAAAGCTCACCTGTGAATAAACCGCTCGTCGGACGGGACTTGGTTGGCCGTTAAGTTTTTATAGGCCGCGCTGTCCACGGCTAAGGTCTTCGCGCGTTGTATCGCCGTTTTCTTCGGTACAATCTTCTCCGGTTTTGACACTAAACACAGAAGAGAAAACAGATATGAGATGCAGACATGCCATGATATCAGGAAGTGTTGCAAAGACATGCTACAGCCACTATGTTCGGGGGAAATGTCTACCAAAACAAAGGGCTAAAAGAGTTTTTAGTGGCCTAGTGCACTGCAAGATCTTTAACAAGCTGTTTCCGTGGTTCATAATATACCTCTACTTTCGTGCACATTTGAGGACGAAAGCCTCCGAGGTACGGTGTGTTAAAAATAAATCACATGAAGAAGATTGAAGTGTCTGCATGCTACTACCCACATAGTAAATTTAGGTTAAAAAAAGACAAAAAGCGCAGTTAATTTGTATTGATGGAAAAGCTGACTGCAAACAAATGCGGGGGAGATTTCTGCAGCTAAACAGTTGGGCTACTTAAAAGTTGATAGTTGATAGGTAGGTGTGTGTTATTGAGCCGATGAGCTCTACAGAAATTGCAAACGCCCTTTGTTCGGCTCACGTTTTCATCGCTATGAGCCCGATAATTAATCGAAAACCGATGTGGGTGGAAACTGACGCCCTGAATGGGCGAGTTCAGTCACACTTTGAGGAGCAAACGAAGGAAGGTAGTAGAGGATTCTCTTTATTGCAACCTACAGCTGTGCAATGGCGGAAAGAACTAATGGATGGACTAGACAACTGCTCAGACAACCACTACGTCGGGTAAGAAGGCCTTTAATGATTGTGAAAATCCTGTAAGCAGCATGCATTCTGGAGACGATTTCGTTCCTACTCTATTCATTCTGAAGCAGCCGCGCTCCCAAGTATTTGAAATTATCAACTTCTTCAAGTTGATAACCGCTAATCCCAAGGGGCGCCTTCTTCCGATCCGAGATATAACTCGAAAATTCCCATTGCCCAGCCCCTATATGTAAGCCGGGCGAGCTGACTCTATTTGTCACAGACACCACACTACGCAGGTTGTCAGAGCTGCCAGTAGGATATCTCCAGTGCAGTCAAGATTGGGCAGCCGGCGCCCGGATGCAAATTCATCACCACCGAAAACCAGGTACAACCGACCCCAATAAGCAACAGAATACAATTCTTTTGTACTCAAAACAAAATATTGAACGGTTGAGATAGACTATTGTAGATCAGAACTAGCGCGACGTTAGACTCTGATCCGGGCGACGATATTTGTCGGTACACCACTGAGTTCTATCATTCGCGACAGACATCCATGAAAGACAAATGCAAACGCTACGAAGTAGACAGTCGTCGGTTATTTGAGCGTAATTCTTAAATACGCCGTAGATGGGAACAACTGGTCCGTACACCCACGTACAGCTCAAAATCCGGCTTGGTCGGTTCTAGTTCTTGAGTCACGCACACTGCAATCATCTGAGAATGAAAACAGTAAAGACCTTCGTAGTAACGTAGATGGGGTTAATGACGATGTACTGGTCGCGTTAATAGTCCGCAGAAGCCAGTTCAGCGCCCTAGATTTGGTCGACCACCTCATGGAGGAGCCAGGGCGCCAGTGCCGACACAGAACTTGTCTTCTGTGGTGGGGTTATAATCCGTCCTGCATGCGCTGTTGTTGTGTCAGACTGGCAGGAGAAAAAACGTTCCGCTGAGGTGAGCGAGCCCTAATGGACTGGCCCTCAGCGTTTAAAAGGTGCTCGGCAGCGATCTAACTTGCCCAGCCACAAACCGTTTAAAAAATAGCGCCGAAATACTCGGATAAAAAATATTCGTTGAATACCACTGACTGGGAGGTGGCGTGGGAAGAAA